GTGTGTGTGTGTGTGTGTGTGTGTGTGTGTTGCTGGTGGTGACTGCAGAGCGTTTCAATGCGCAAAGCAACAAGTAGCGTTTGGTCTCTTTCCTTCCGAGGGCGTTGAGAAAAAAAAAGTGAGGTGAAACCACAAAAAAAAAACGATGGGCACCGCCCGCGCCCACAGTTGGGCATCGCGCAAAGAACAGCGAGAGCCCATAACGAAGGCCGCACCGACGAACGCGTGGGCCGCACGATCTCACACTCGCCGCTGCCCACAAGAGACGGCAGCCGCAAAGAAGGCTGGCGGTAGCAGCGACTGTTGTGCGCAGCCCCAAAAAAGCACCACCCGCATCCGCACGGAGAGTCCGCAGTGTGGGACGTCTCCCGCAAAAATTAAACAACAAAACAAAAAAAATTCATAAGCGCCTCACTTAGCGTCTCCCCCACCCAGCCCCTTCAAACCCTGCCAGCAGCAACACGCAGTGCGCATCCCGGCGGGACCTCCCATCACGACCCCCACAAACTCCCCAACGCCGTCCCCACATCCCTCAGCACACTGCAGCAGGAGTGGAGCGCAGCGTAACTAAAATAATTTAAAAAATAAAAATGAAAAAAGACGCATGCAACACCATTTCCTGCTGCTTCGTTCGACTCACAAGCGAGGGCGACACGCCAGCGCAGCCGTAGCCTCAGACTGCCCGATCAGTGCTTGCAACTCGAACAAGACGCAACGGGCGCATGCGCCCAGGACGGCAACCCAACAAAAGAGAGGCGCCAACGGCGTTTGCTCGAGGCTCTCAGCGGTGCATGCGGCACCCCACATTGGAGCTGAACGCCAACCAAAAACGATGGCACCAAAAAACAAAAAGGAAAAACACCACGCTAAGGCGCAAAAGCAATCACAATAATTCGGTTTGCCCCTGACCTCTGGGCTGTGGTGGCCGCCGCATTTGCTTTCCCGCCTGTGAGCCCACTCAGCATGCAAAACTTACCCTCTCGCCCAAACTCTCTGCAGCAACAAACTGGGAACAGCGAGGAGATATCACCAATGGAATACTGCCGGCGTACACCCACAAGGTGCCATCATTCCCCACACAACCACAACAAAAAAAAAGGTGCTGCTGTGGTAGCGCTGGCCATAATAATCATTTGGCGCACGGCAGAGCGAGTCCCTAAGAACGCCTCCTACCCACACACAAACACACTTAGCAATATATCATACTCCCTAAAATATTTCACCAGTAAACTCAAGCTGTTTATTCCCCTTCTCCTTTTCCTTGTCCCTCTGGTTGTCGCCCACGTTCGGTTTGTCGTTCACTTCTGAAATTCTCAGCTGATACCGCTAGCTGGCACTGACGCACCTGCTGATTCCAAAATGCCGCAATGGCCTGAGGGTCCTCACGCTCATTGCTGCCCGTTGCATTTGCGTGCGCGACGACAACACATCCCTGCCACGCGTTTATTGCCGTACTGTGCTCATGCTGCACGTAAATAATCCCCCACGACAAGCCTTCCGTAAACGTTTCCCAGTCATTAAAATAACTCCGTGGAAGATTGTTGAACCGCCTCACCGTGCTGGCTTGGGTGCCATGCTCAGCCCTCGTCGTCACCTGCACCGCAACCATCGTCCTCCGCGGTGCACCAACGAAGAAAAAGGCGTCCACAAGCAGAAAACTTCTGCTCTTCGGTACGTATAGCACCTTGTATTGTACATCCAACATCGGAGGAGTGTGGCCCAGCGCTATTAATGCAACGGGTATGCTTGGATGCTTTTCGGGGTTCGATTGCTGCACACATCTCTGTCGCTGACGACGTCCTGGTGGAGGCAACTCGTTGAGGCCCGGCATTATATTTTCCACAAAGCCTCTACGCAGGAATGCGTGAAGAGTGCACCGCTCCAAAAGTTCCGGCAACAACACCCTCCGGTACATCAATAGTCGAAAAATAATGCCATTCTCCTCATCCACTTCGAGCAACCTTCCAATTAATTTGCTTCCAATGGAAAAACAGACCGGCATGTTAACAAACGCCTCAAGACCGCGTTGTCTTATTGCTCTGACAACTTTCACAAGTTTGTGAGAAGCTTGATTCGAGGGCCACTCTTCCATACCTCCAATCATATTATAATGCTTAGCATTTGAAGCGTCGATACCTGCCAGGATGTCCTTGATTTCCTCCACGCGGTTTTTATATTTATTATCATCGAAGATGCATCGTGGAATCGGTCCGACGTCATCCATGCGCATGTTCACCCTTCTCCAATACTCCGCCTGCTCCTCTTCAATCGTATTGGGTGTCTCCCACGCACACATCGCCTTCACGTCGTTTTCATCGGGGCAATTCATGATGATTTTGATAGCACTCGGCTGCTTCGCCCATGCTTTTGAAGTTATCTTCGTTCGGGGACGACAACATAATGATGCCCCACTCATGGGAGGGCACAACATCATTCGATGGTTCTTGAAGTTGTCTTGCCATATCGATGATAATATACCCCTTCATTCCACTCCCAGCCAAATTTATCATAGCTCTTCCAATATTATTCTCACCCGCGTATATTGTCACCGTTCGTGTCCTCTTGTCAAACAAGTATGCAAAATCCCTTCCAAAGCAGTACACAACCACATGGAGCTTCGTGGCGTCGTAGTGCAGCAGCTGATGAAGGAGGTAGGAGTCAGCCGCCATTGACTTCCCTATCCCGGGGGTTCCAACCAAAAGACGGCGTCTCATGCATGGTGGGCCTCTCTCTGGAGGGGGAAACACTCCTTTTAGATCGCCCTCGACGATCTTCCACACCCGATGCACCTCAATGTTAATGCAGCAGTCGGTAATACGTATTGCATGCTCCAGCGAGTACGGCCATCGTTTTTAAAAGGAAAGGATCATGTGTTTTGGGCATGGTGGACGGAACTGCTCCTCACCACCCACTGAGAGAAAAGTACGCACAGTCTGCGTGTACTCCCATAACTCTTGTGGCCGTTGGCCCTCTCTCACCTCCATTCGCACCATCATGCATTCCCCTTCGCCCTCGGGAAATCCCACGACGTGACTCCACGTTGCATCAAATACGGATTCGTAGAGTCCCTCCAGCCTCGGTCGTCTGCCCCTTTCCTCCTCTTCGCGCTCTCTTCCTTCCACCCTTCGGAGCTGTGCGGAGGGCCCATCCGAGTCGCGAGACAGCCCCGATCCGGGCACGACGTCCTCCTCCCTGCGGCACATTGGTTGCAGGGGGCTCCTCGGCGGCGTGAAATTCCTCCTCGCGTCTCTCAGACATGTTTTCCTTCGTGGTGGTTAACTTGAGTTGAACTGCAGCACAATACTCAACCAGCAGTCAAAAGGGAGAATGAAATTATTTAAAAAAAAACATGCAGAGACACGACTCCACGCAGCCGCAACAAAAACGAGAGAGAGAGGGCCACCCACACACGGCACGCGGCGCACACCTACACAAACAACAAGAGCAAATTAGATCTCCCTAGACAAACCGTGCAAATTGCACAGCACACACAACAGCTGCGACGAGGTGTCTCTCTTCTTCTCGTATTGCACCCGCCACTCGGATCCCCACAGCTCTGTGTGTGTGCGTAGTCACACGCAAATATCACCCACTCATAGTGAAATTGACTGCCTCGTCGCGGTGGCATTTTGTGTCGCAATTCGCTGAGGTGCAAAGAGGCAGAACATCCGCCGCCTGGTCCCCGTGAAAAGGAGAATGGACGCCACCGCGTTCTCCCCCGCGACGCAAATTTACGCTGCGCCCAGCACGTGGTGCGGTGCACGTGAATTCCGCGAGGGAACTGTTTGCCACACGACTGGGCCGCACGGGACGCCGCCTGCGAAGGCAGCCGCAGACGCCTCC